ACAATAACAATAACAATAACAATAACAATAACAATAACAATAACAATAACAATAACAATAACAATAACAATAACAATAACAATAACAATAACAATAACAATAACAATAACAATAACAATAACAATAACAATAACAATAACAATAACAATAACAATAACAATAACAATAACAATAACAATAACAATAACAATAACAATAACAATAACAATAACAATAACAATAACAATAACAATAACAATAACAATAACAATAACAATAACAATAACAATAACAATAACAATAACAATAACAATAACAATAACAATAACAATAACAATAACAATAACAATAACAATAACAATAACAATAACAATAACAATAACAATAACAATAACAATAACAATAACAATAACAATAACAATAACAATAACAATAACAATAACAATAACAATAACAATAACAATAACAATAACAATAACAATAACAATAACAATAACAATAACAATAACAATAACAATAACAATAACAATAACAATAACAATAACAATAACAATAACAATAACAATAACAATAACAATAACAATAACAATAACAATAACAATAACAATAACAATAACAATAACAATAACAATAACAATAACAATAACAATAACAATAACAATAACAATAACAATAACAATAACAATAACAATAACAATAACAATAACAATAACAATAACAATAACAATAACAATAACAATAACAATAACAATAACAATAACAATAACAATAACAATAACAATAACAATAACAATAACAATAACAATAACAATAACAATAACAATAACAATAACAATAACAATAACAATAACAATAACAATAACAATAACAATAACAATAACAATAACAATAACAATAACAATAACAATAACAATAACAATAACAATAACAATAACAATAACAATAACAATAACAATAACAATAACAATAACAATAACAATAACAATAACAATAACAATAACAATAACAATAACAATAACAATAACAATAACAATAACAATAACAATAACAATAACAATAACAATAACAATAACAATAACAATAACAATAACAATAACAATAACAATAACAATAACAATAACAATAACAATAACAATAACAATAACAATAACAATAACAATAACAATAACAATAACAATAACAATAACAATAACAATAACAATAACAATAACAATAACAATAACAATAACAATAACAATAATAATAATAATAATAATAATAATAATAATAATAATAATAATAATAATAATAATAATAATAATAATAATAATAATAATAATAATAATAATAATAATAATAATAATAATAATAATAATAATAATAATAATAATAATAATAATAATAATAATAATAATAATAATAATAATAATAATAATAATAATAATAATAATAATAATAATAATAATAATAATAATAATAGCAATAATAACTACCACCACAACAATAATAATAAAACAATATAAGATATTTAACTAACAATTCTATTTTATCAACAATTCTAATACATTAAACTCCTTTCTACAAATCATGTTTTGTTCCATCACATAAATTTTATAAATATAAAATAACACATATACTTGTAGTTGATTGCACATATTTGTTACCGCCGGCCAACACCACTACTGCTTCTATTGATATTTCTGATTACCGACGGCTTCTTGGGCTTCTTCAGTATCTCTGTTTCACCCGGCCTGATATTTGTTTTGCGGTTCATCGACTTTCTCAATTTTTGCATGGACCCGTTTCTTCTCATTGGTTTGCCGCTAAACGTCTACTTCGGTATCTCAAGGGCACCTCTTGTCATGGCTTGTACATGCGGCCTACTGCACATCTTTCTCTCACAGCGTTCTCTGATGCAGATTGGGGCAGTACCTCCACTCACGGCCGTTCCACTATTGCATATCTTCTATATTTTGGTGGCAATATTATTTCTTGGAAATCTATCCTTCAAAAATCTGTCGTCCGATCTTCAACCGAGGCTGAATATCGTGCTCTTGCTCATGCTACTGCCGAACTTTTGTGGGTGCAACATCTCCTTCGTGAAATTGGATACCCACTTTCTCAGTCACCACACCTTTACTGTGATAATTAAGTGCTACATACGTATGCAAAAATCCAGTCTTTCATTCCCGTATGAAGCATCTATGTCTTGACTATTTTTTTGTCCGCAACTTGGTAGCTGCTGGGAAGTTGTCTGTTCATCATGTACCTACTACACCTCAGCTAGCGGACATTTTGACTAAGCCTCTTGGTCGTACTCCTTTCCTTCATTTCCGTTCCAAGATTGGCGTCTCCAATGGATCCTCCATCTTGCGGGGAATATCACGGATAATATTTAGTATATTATCTACTAGTTATTAGTCATGTTTGTTGTAACTATTAATTGTGATATTATCTCTTTACTATCCTATCGGTATACCAGTAGCATAGATAGAGTTAAACTCTTCAACTGTACTTATATATACTCATGTACGTTCACTGATAATCATCAATAACACAATCCTTTATACCTGCCTCCTTTACCTTTTGGCTTCTTCCCCCATTTGCTTCTATTATACCATGCGATTGTATTAAGAGAGATTCTCCCCACAATTCAAGTATCATAGATCACCCAATCACTGGGATTTCTTCTAGTATTCATGGTTTCTCACAGTTAGGCTACCCTATATGTGTGCCACCAATATATATACCATGTATAACTCTTCAATTTGAACAGCGGCTTCCCTACATGCTTAGCAGATACACCAAGCAGACACGGATGATTGGAATTTATGGGGAAGCCTCAGTGTCGATAGAAAATTAGTTCGCCATGAGTGCACTACAGAAGCCTCGGTGAGTGAGTGATGTAGCAGAAGATGGGAAGGATATTGACGGGATGAGAAATGCTAGAGGTACACGTTTTGTGTACACGTTTGGTGTACACTTGTCTGTCTTTCACAGACAAATTGTCTGTCACAGACAATTACAGACAAGTGTACAACAAACGTGTACACAAAACGTCTACCTCTAGCATTTTTCTTGACGGGATATACACAGGCATGGTGTAAATACAAAGTCCCTCAAAATTGCAATTATTTACCAAATTACCAAGAAGCAGAAAAAAGCATGTCCAATGTTGCAACTGCTTCTGCTTAAAAAAAACACTTTTGGAGATGTAAGGAAAAATTGATTAGTAGTAAAAGTTGATATTGTTTGAGAAAAAAGTGATTTTGATAAGTAAAAGTTGGTAGTGTTTGGTAAAATAAGTGCTTTTTGTGTGATAGAAAAGGGAAAAACACTTTTCACACGCAAGCCGAGAAAAAGTGAAAATTGGTAGTGTTTGGTAAATAAGTGCTTTTTTAAGCCAAAAGCTGAGAAGTGCTTTTTTTAAGCTGTTGCAAACACTCCCTAAAATTAAGAGAATCTTCCTTTTGCAAACACAAATTTTAGCTTTTTTTAACAAAAAAAGCATAAAAGCTCCAACAAACACAGTCTAAGGGTTTGTTTGCAAACACTAAAAAAAGGCGTTTCCCTGCTTTTGACTTAAAAAGGTCAAAAAGAGTGTTTTCAAGTGACAACTTCTACTTAAATTAACACTTAAAAGCTAAAAGCTAGAATCTATTTTTTCTTTTTCTATTACATAAAAAACACTTATTTTGTCAAACCAACTTTTACTTTTCAAGATCACTTTTTTTTCAAACACCAACAACTTTTACTATTAATCACTTTTTCCCAAATCACTTAAAAAGTTTAAAAGTTATTGTATGTGACTAGTGTTTGCAAACAAATCCTAAATATACTCCGTACAAAATGGAAGATGAAGATGGTGTTAGAAATCTGACCTCGCAACTCACTCGTCATTTACTCTCTTAAAGTTTGTGCACTTACTGATCACATGATGAAAGGAGTGTTTGCAATAGCTTAAAAAAAGCACTTCTCAGCTTTTGGCTTAAAAAAACACTTACTTACCAAAAACTATCAATTTTTATTTTTTTCTTGGCTTGCGTATAAAAATGTTTTTCCCTTTTCTATTACACAAAAAGCACTTATTTTTTACCAAACACTACCAACTTTTACTTTTCAAAATCATTTTTTTCTCAAACACTATCAACTTTTACTACTTATCACTTTTTCCCAATCATTCAAAAAGTGATTTTTTTAAGTAGAAGCAATTGCAAACACTCACTAAGCACGAATAAGCTAATAATAGTGGCATAACCCTGAGTTAATGATAAGTTACTCAATAATCAATCAAGAGCCAAGAATTCCTGCTGCCCCACATAGGGGTGTTTGGATCTGATTCTTAAAACTGCTTCTGCTCCTTCAGGGAGCAGAAACAGAAGTTGAAGTGTTTGGATGAATGTGTAGAAGTAATTCTGGTACTGTGATTTACTCCTAGAATAAGTTTTTTTAGAAGTTGTGGGAGATCAGCTTCTAAAAACAGAAGCTAATAAGTTCCAAACGCCCCATGGGTCCGTCCTTCCGGACTCTTCCAAGGACGTGTTTGGATCTGATTCTTAAAACCGCTTCTGCTCCTTCAGAGAGCATAATCAGAAGCTGGAGTGTTTGGATGAAAGTGCAGAAGTGATTCTAGTGCTTTAATTTACTCCTAGAATCATTTTTTTAGAAGTTGAGGGAGTCCAACTTCTGGAAACTGATTCTGATTCTGCTTTAAAAAAGAAGCAGAAGTAGAAGCAAAATCAGTTTCAAACACCCCCAAATCTTCCCGTGTGTTATACTATCTTTCGTTCTTTAATTTTTGCAACATTTTGACTTTCACGTTTGTCAATGCATAACTTTGACTGTAATTATATTTAATTATGTATTAGTAAACGTTATAGAAAATTGATATTTTGGAAATTCACATTGATAAAAATTATGATAATGTATATTAGTAGAAAATCGTGGTCAAAGTAAGGTCTATGAATAGTGCAAAAGTCAAAATGTTGTAAGAATTAAAAAAAGGAAGAAGTAATACGTATCTATCGTCAAGGATAAAAGATCTTTAACCGTTAATTTACTTTTATCTGATTTGTATACACAACACTTCTGGCTGATGATGTTCCCCACAGCCACTTTACATGATACAAAGCTTACACTCAAACTGTATGTCTATATGTACCCATTAAACCTTTCCATACCATTGCAGTTCAAGTCAATATCTTTAGGGTGGCAGGTATCGAAGTCTCTAAGGCACTTCTTATTCAAGTCCAGATTCTTCAAGAATCCAATTGTTTTTAAATTTTGGTCATATGTGCTGGCTTTGAAGATTTGGTCACATGGTTTCTCATTAAGTTATTATCAGAACTGGTGCATTGGCTTCTTTTTCTTCCACTTGTGTGACCATTTAATCTATTTCCATGGGTTGGATGCATTTCCATCAATGGAAGTTCCACAGAAGAATTTCCAGGCACCTGCTTCCCAGCTTCTTCCATCACTTTTTGCTCATATTCCATCCTTCCTAAACATTCTGTGTCTTTTCTTACTGAACATTCTTTTTCGGTCAACCCTGAAGATGAACAGCTAAAGCACTCCATATCAACCATTAACTTCAATTTAGAGATTTCAGCTTTTGCAAGCTCCACTTCTACAGAAGAAGAACCACATCCAGAAAGTGTCTCGTGTGCCATCTTTATAACAGACTGGAGATACTTCCCCTGGGCTTCAATTCTCTGCTGGATATGTCTTTGCACCTGGTTGGTATATGATTATGCAGTATAATTCATGGTCTAATTCACATACATAAATTATAATATCTGAATTTAAATGAACTCCATGAAACATGCCTCGATTTGTTCCTGCAGTTTCCTATGCACCTCCATTTGGATTCGCAAAGCCTGAGCTGTTTCGGTGCTTATAGATTATCAGAGCAGAAATTTTATCCATATAGGTGTTAGTAGACTAGATTTCAAATCCATTCTAATATAAAATTATGAAGGGTATTTTAGGTAAAGGGGTTTGGGGCTTTGGAGGGCTTGGTATATATAAAATGTTACTAAAAAATTAATAAAGGAGGACGATTAAAGTACTGTTATTTCTTGGTACTAAAAAATTAATAAGGGCTTGGTATCACATATTATGTTATTTCTTCAACTTCTATAATATCTCAAATACATATCAAGAGAAATGTACTACCCCTGCAAAACACTCCATTACCCAATTCCCACTGACTAAGAAGCTGTTTATAGGCCATTGCTCATTCATCTGACCCTGGGCTTCATCACTGTTGTCTGCAGGTGATTGACTCTGATGTTCTATGTAATCTGCAAGCACCAAAGTCCTCAGTTTTGCTGTGTCATTTTGTAAGTGGGAAAAAGTGGTGTGTTAATACCTGATTTGGTTCCTAGCCTATGCAATATTGCCAAATTTGGTACTTATCTTTTAGGCTTAATTTGGTTCTCGACATGAAATTTAGACTCAACTTTATCTACATCCGTGTTTTGATCTAATTGAGAAGGATACTTTCATACAATGAGGATTAAGTTTGGTTATACTTACATAGTTGAGGCCAATTGAGTCGGGAATCGGGACTAAATTCAGTGAACATACCGAAATACTCTTCTCATTTAGAACTAGATATGAATGAGGGCAAAATTGGATATTTGGATCCATAGTTTAATAAAATAAATTGCTGAGGGCCAGATTAAGCAAAAAGGTATAGTCGAGGTAGTACATTTGGCATTAGCTCTTAACTTAATTAACACTATAAGCTAATTTCTTGGAATTAAGGCCAGTGAGCTGTGAGTGACTCTATACTAGTTGGGTGGGAAGTAGCAGCAACAAAAAAAGCACATGCTAGTACCTTCTTGCTTGCTATCTTGGTGTGGCTGAGGATTCTGGCCTTTCCCAAGTCGAAATTTCTGCAGCATGGAGCTAGCATTCATGAATTCATACTTCACACCACAAACTATAGACAGATAATCAAAAGTTGATCTTAAGGTGACAATGGAAAAAATACCTGCAAATGGCTCTTCAGGTGGTAAAGAGTAATCCCCTGAATGTTCATTTTTCTCATCAATGAATTCGGTGTAGCCTCTGCACGTGCATGATATTGTCACCAATATTATGATCCATGATGAACTAAGTGAGCCTTTGTTTTGCACCTCCAAGCTGAGATACTGCATCAACAAATCTATGGTGAAGTTCTGGAGTCCATTTCAGCCGTGGCTTCATATCACCACTTCCTACCAGCCAGGGGTTCTTATTCTTATTATTTGCGATCTCAAGGATCATTTTCGCCGAGATATATATCCAGAGAGAGAGTCGGTTTGATCCTTAAAATGTGGAAGCAGTAAGTGTTTATATAATTGGGTAGCTGCCAGGGTCTTTCATGTTGTTAGTCTCTATGTATTTGTATTTTACCCACAATTACACTACATATAGTTCAGTAATTCTTTAATAATACTTATACATGTGATATTGAAAGATCAATTTAAGAAGTGGTTTTACTCGGGGGCGGAGCCAAGGGAGAGTAGGGTGGACCGGGTGGTCAGCCGACCCCTTGAAAATTTGGAAATATGGAGTACTGAATATCTTCGATTTGATATATTATGACTCTCGTAACTCATTCGAGTAAAAATGTATGACTCCTGAAAAATCAGCACAATCTAAACTCTAAATGTCTAACAGTCAAACTAAAAAAACTTCTAATTCACTCATTACATGAACTTTATGACAAATATATCAAATTTATATCTATCAATCTTATTTAAGTTATCATTTATCCAAGTTACACAGGCCCACCCTTTTTATTCTGTATTTAGTTTGACCATCTGGGTTGGTTTTCTGGTTGTGCCACTGGTTTTACTTTTCTATAATTCCATAATTTTTTCTCGTAGTTTCAACTAAAATAGCTCGATAGAATCTCCGATATTCTATGAAACAACTGTCTTCAAATTGGATCTCAAAAGGAGAGAAAAAGGCTAGGGTTTGTTTTATCCTTATGTTTTCTATAATCCTGTCAATCTGCTTGTTAGTTGATTCCCTGCTGAGTTAGGCAGTCCCACCCAGGGCTGGATTCGTGCTGGTTCGGGCCCGGGCTCGACCGGGCCGCCGGTTCAAAAATGGTGGGTCCGGGACCGGCCCGCCCTTAGGCCGGTGCCGGTCCGGGCCGGGTCACCCGCCCGGGTCACGGGTCAGGCTACCCGCCGAGTCGGGCCGGGTCAACCAAATCCCCCCCATTTTGCTACTTATTCAAACTTCAAGTGCATTTATTGAAAATAGGAACTACATTCGAACTACATTTACTAATAAATACTCCCTCCGTCCTGAAAACAACCTCCCGGTTTGACTTTCACACACTTTTAGAAAATAAATTTGACTTTACTGTAGAGTGCATTGTTTGCACTGTTTAAACACTGTTTGGCATTGTTTAAACACTGATTAGCATTGTTTATCACTTTTTTGATGTAGATAATTTTCCAAATAAGGAAAGTATTGAAGTGTGAAGTTAATTTTGAGACATCCATTGAAGGAAAGTGGGAAGTTATTTTTGGGATGGAGGGAGTAATAATAATATAATTAATAATCAATCAATTAACTAATTTGAGAAGTGTTACATATAAAAAAAATTAACTTATATTTATTTGAACGCGTATATGGTTTATCACCCAAGTTTAGAGGGGAATTCTAGTTTTTACAACCATTGTTTTGATGTATATTGTTATGGTCCAAATAATTCTCGTACAAAAATCAGGTCGAAATTATATTACACATCAAGGAATTAATTAACCAAAAGATGAGCTCGATTAAAGAAGGATTAAACTATGGTTTAAATCATTACATTATACATGAACAAATCAACTAAATGTAACTCGTTTTTCAAGATTTAAGAACCAAACCGTCCCTATAATCACAATGCTACTAGTGTAGTGTAGTTCATGTGCTTCTTCGACCACCCTAAAGCAATCTGTGTTCGAAGTAACTTTACAACCCCATGAGCTCAAAGTTTTTACATCTCATCAGATAAAGTAAGTGACATGCTTAGATAACAGACGCATTTTACACTATTACGCCATCCTCTCTTTCAAGAAAAGGCAAAGTTCAAAGAACAGTGGTCTCCATTTCTCACATAGGCCGCTTATTGCTGCATCTAGACACCGGTCAGTTCAGCACAACCAATTCCAGCACCATATACAACTTTTGTCAGCTCCTACAGGAACTCTCATCAACTGCTACACCTCAACTACACCAAGTAAAAGCAAAAAGCCTCACGTACAGTTAGCGTTTTTGTTTGTGTCTGGTAACTGTATAGCAATACAATTGGATAACTTACCAATACAATTATAGCAAGCACCCCCGTAAATTTTATTCCAACCAACGTATCTGTTATCTGGAAAGACTCCACAGCAGACATAAAGATAAATCTGCTAGACACAAAAATCAGACGTCAGGAAACAAACTTTTTCTACAAGCAACAAACCACCCACCAGTCAAACAAATCCATCACCTGATCACATCTTCAGTCTGAGGCACATTAACAACCTAAGATATGAGGGGATGGATATCGTTGAATAACTGGTCCAGTCCATTCCAGAAATCAAATAGGAAAATAGAAAATAACCAAACAAAGTTTCATGCCTTTCACCAGACCAATCAAATCACTCTGGTCATGATAGAGCAACCCCAAGCTTAGTGAAACCCAGAATATTGAAACTGCATTGACAAACATATGAATAATGAAATAATGCTATTGAGCGTGATATGAGTTTTGCTGTGTGTTAGATACTGTTGGTCAAATGTATGCACTTGTGTGTTAAGAGGTAGACAAGATGATGCATCAGTGGTATATACTTCGTACAAATATATGTATGTGCATAATTTATGTATGTAGAGACGAGGTCAAGGCACCGAACAGAAATTCCTGTTGACAGATCTCTGTGTTTAGTGCAGTTATAATGCAGCAAGACAATCTACTTTATATAAATCAAACTAGTCTGTCCTTCAACTAGATATTCATAAGGTAGTAACAATATTAACTATAATGGACAGACCTCAGATGTTCATGTTTCCACAAAAAATTGAAGTTACGCAAACCACTGCAGATCTATTTCGTTGAACTTGTTTAGACTAAAGAACATGTTGTTATGCTCATACAGACTGTCACAGATGCACCAACAGGAAAAAAAAAGAGTAAAACATGGAAGCGATATGAATATGAGATATTAATGAACACAAAATTGGGTCAAGGTCGATTAAAGTTTGACATCACCCAAACCAAGAGAGAAATTACCAAAGATCCGTGCAAGCAAAGCAAGTGAAATTTCTAAATCCAGAATAGTTCAATCCGGAGTATCCAAAAAAAGCAGTAGATTAGCACAAGGTCACAGCTCAGACATGAAGAATGGCTTGAATCCACAGCTCCTTTGCAACATCTGATATCCACAAAAGGTTGAGGTTTCTGAGATCAAGAATAGCACAACAAAATCCCAAATAATGCGTCAAAGCAGATCCTTGATTCAAAACTTATTGAACAGATCAAGGATATAATGAGTAAATGGAAGCAAGAACCTCCAACGAATGATGCTGAAGAGTTCCCAAAAAGTCGATCATTTTAGCTCAATTGCTTATAAGACACCAAAAATCATCTGAACCAATAATCCCATGAAGAGATTTTGGATGAATACCAGGGTGATTACTATGATATGAACCAAAATGCATCAAATTAATCCTTTCCATTCTACCAACAGCAATGCATTCCAAAACCTAGTGAATCGCACAATACCGCAAAAAAAAAAAAACATAACAGATACTACTGCATGAAGGGTATGGAATTTATAGACTGAGAGCTGTGGATACACAGTCTCAGCAGAAGCAAAAAGGGATATACAAAGTTGAAAATTGAACAGGTACTTTTTGCCAAGATGGAAACAGAAGACATTTAGATGGAACACAGTGGGCAGTCCGGATGGTGACCTACAGGAAGATGCATCAACTAGTTCCATGTGAGAAACCAAGTCTAAGATATGTATAAATGAAAGAGCCAAGCAAAGTGAACAAAACAATTATTAATAAATGAATTAAGCCACAAATACAAATAATATAACCCAGAAAGCCAGAGCAATGGTTCCGGGAATAGCTTGGCCTTGGAGTCTTGGACATGAAAAAGATTGATGTCATAAAAAGACAGTTCACCCAGACAGATCAAAATTTGCTGCCGATGTAGGATCCCATCATCATATTCAACCGACCAAATATCACATCCTCAACCTAATTTATATATCAGTAGAGAAATCATCCATTAACTCTTTGAAACTGCGACCAAAAGTATGAAGATAACCAATAAAACCAGGTTATACTGAAACGACAATCCATTATTTTTTCCTTGCATCTGAGATAAATTCCATAATACATCTTAGCGCAGATGTACACAAGTTGGAAACAAAGATCTCAAGCAATCAATTCCGGAAAACCTATATTCACATAGTTAGCGGGACCATGGAGCAATTTGTCAATCAAACTGGTTGATGATGTCCAAGACAAATCTAGTAATTTTCTCCCGCCATGATCAATCCCTGACACATTTTGAGCCAACACACACAACTTGCAAATAAATAACTTGAATACTCAATCTAAGACCAAAATCTAAAGAAGATAGCCAAGACAGAGGAATTCATCAATCAAACCAGTTATCTTCGCATACGAAGATCAAACCCCTGATACACTTTCAGATTAAGCCAGCTGGCAAAACACATCTTAAGACAAAAATAGGGTAAATAGAGCATCAGTTCAAATAGATGAGTCCAAAATCATGCATGCGGGACTTGTCAGGTCATAGCGTGAAAGTAAAGAAATTCGTAACCCCAGTTAGCAGCTTCCCATTTTCATCACGATCAAATACTACATATACAGTTACAAAATATGATACAGATATTTCTGAAAAACATGTAAAATGAACATAGCCTAACAGTGACTGATATATAGCCTGGCCATTTTCACACTCCTGGAGCTTAGGCCTGGGAGAGGAGGCAATAAGGCCTATGTTGACCAAGTATATATAGTGATCATAACTGATCACTATATACTAATCATGCCAAAAACTAAAAATGGAATAATAAGTACAAGTGATGGTAGACATGCCGTCAAGTTCTGCCACTCTGTTCCAAGCTTGACTATCGTCTGAAAGGATTGGCGACCAGGATTGGTGACTTGGACACGCTATACTTGACCGACATGGCTCCATACCCAAGGAACTGGTATGAGGGGGGTTTCCCATTGTCAAGTCCGTTCTGGATGGCTCAACGTGTATGCGATACGACTTGTTCGTGATGAATGAGCTATTGTTCCTAGGAGTTGAACAGCATAATTTAATCCTCAAGTGTAGTCACGTACATAGAAACGTGCAATGCAGAGCTGGGTTGGACTGCGGATTGCACGTACTTCTCCGAACGGCATATAGAAACATGTTAGAGAAGGGTTAGCTCAGGGAAGGAAGCTAAACATGCAGCAAGATGGAATTGTTTTCATAAAATCATGACAACATAACTTTCCAGATTTAAGTGCTGAGTATATATACATGGACGGAGAGGCAATAAAAAGTGAATATCGTAGAACCGGAATGAATGGTTCTCAGAATTAGCATGACCTGGGGTTTAGAATGTTGCACAGCATGCATAATCTGTCATAAAAAGACAGATGCCGCAAGGACTCTAAAAAACATGTCCCAAATAAGTTCATCTAAAATATTATTGGAAAAAATTAATGCACTACCCAAAATATTAATGATGCCACTAGTTCACTTGGAGATGAAACCGTCACACATTACACAGTCTAGTTCCCTCCCAGATCCAAAAAGA